GGCGATGTAGACTGAACCAACCGCGGAAACACAGGAAAAATTAAAAAGTCACGGCCAGGCTAGGAAACGCAGTACTGCTGGCAAATGAAGAAACCCATGTGTGTCCAATATGGAAACAGTGGCAAGAGGGCTGTGGGGAGGCAGTGAAGAATGTGCGGAAAATAAAGGAAAAACGCTAGTTTGTTTTCGTTTGTATTAAATTTCATAGTAAGCACCGTGTAATGCAAAGATTCGATGCATGTAACCAGTAAAACGAATTGTACGAAAAATGAGGGTGACTGACCCTTCAAAGTCAATGAAGCTGAATCGCCCACGAATATGACCACTAAGTTATTAGCCACCGGTGGAAGCTGTCGGAAGTGGGCACAGAATGACTCCCCAACTTTAACAATAAAATTTGACACTAAACCCTAAACCGTGACCCTAAACTCTAACTTTTAACCTTGACTCCAAGCTTAAACCCTGACCCCTAACCCCGAACTTAAAGCATGAATTCCAACCGTCAAACATGGGTCCAAACCTACTTGTGAGTCATAATCGCAACAGTTCGCGAGGAACCTCAACCTGGAAGTATCCGCAAATAGTACTACGCTCGCTGAAATCAATAATAGTACGAAAATGATAAATGTTGACCACCGACTGAAATCAAGAATAGTACGAATGTGATAATCTTTGGTCAAGCAGGACCCCTTTCTCGAGCCCTACCTAAATTCTTTACCCAAGGTTTAAAGAAGGAGCAAACGATTTCCTTGTTTTCGCAGGGCCAGCCTAGGTTAGTTCGATGTTTATTTTATTTGGTAGTGATAATAGCTGTGGCCTCTGTAAACCCCATTGGTTACATGGCAGCATGTCAGATACAACTGCACACGAACAAAGTAAATTGTCGCTTTTAAAGTAGAACCTGAATGAGTTATGTAGCATTGTCCTTAAAGAAAGGCTTTCTGTAGTTCAGGAGGAACTTTGCACGGATTCAAACTGACGAGAGAAACCAGGCGAGACAAATAATCATCTAAACATTTATTGAACATCTGCAGGGACGTTGCATCCACAACTGATTGGTGGAGATCGTTTCTCCCTTCTGCTATCCCTTGTGTGAAAATTCAGAACAAAGGTCCAGCTTGGAGGCGTGTATGGTCCTTTTGTTGGACATGGCCGTCACGCTTGTATGTCATATTCTAAATGCGGCCGAACAGAGGTGGCGTAAACTCTTTCAGGCATTCTCTTTCAAGAGGTTGCGAACGTTTTTTTGGTTGACTTTGGAAAATCGATGTAAAAGACATTGACCTCGAAACCCTTTTCTGAAGCCTCTGTCTGGACTTCCAGACAAATTAGCCGGTTTGAGATGCAGGAGCATCCTCTCCGGAAGCCATGCTGAACGTTCTGTAAGGTGCAATTTCCTCTACAAAACGGCTACATAGCACTCTTTATCACAACTTCTATTGTTTTGCACGAGAGGTGCATCAGGCTAATAGGCCTAAAGCTGCTTGCCTCCATCCTGTGATCTCCCTTATGTATAGAAACGAGGTTGATCGCCATTCATTGTGAGGGCAGTACCCCTGTTATCATTGGCAGTTCCAAAAGAGTTGAAAAATACTTTGCCAGCTCCGCTACTAGTTCCTTAAATATTAACTCTGGACTCCTATCGGGTCAATGAGACTTATCTAGCTTAATTTGACTGAAAACACGTCTTACTTCTTCGACGCACAAGACAACGGTTTCAATGACGGCAGCATCTCGCGCCATTTGAAAGCCCCGACCATGTTGACCTATTTCAAACTCCGGATTGTGTCCGGAGGACTCTGCCGTAAAAAATGATCGACGAAAACTGAGACAATTACTATACTTTCTGTGGCCCTTCAACTAATGAGTTTTAAGGCTATCGGTGAGACACTTAGTTTCATCTGCGTGTCTACTTCTACTGCCGATGTACCTATAACATTCTTGATGCATGTAAAGGATTCCCCTTTCAGGCAGCGCTCGAACGAAGCTCTGGCAATCTGTATTTGGCTGAGACATTTATTACGCTACCCCTTATATTCGACGCATGTTATGGGATCTTGGAGAAGTGTTTTCTCTGTAGCTTCTGTCCTTTCTTTTTGAGTCTTCGTCATCTGAGAGAACCACGGCGATCGCGCACATTGTCTTGTTATTTTTATAGGGAAATGGTATTCAATTAAATGCACTATTATACTGTAGAAATACTGCCGGAAATCTTCTTAATCGCCCGTACTAACTGACCAGGATCCCTCCGAGGCAGCACGTCTTATTGCGTTAAAATCCCCTTCCAAATGCTTCTGCGCCCCTTAGTTCGTGGTTGTAGGTTCGACAGAAGACATCATATGTAAGCCAAAGCAATATCGTCACTTTCACCGAGTAAGGGTTGGGCATTCACTTCCATTCTTCTTTACTGAAAAATAGAATATTAATTTTTTCGCTGTCTCTTAGCAGATCTTTCGATATACTCGAAGAAGGCCTATGTCGTGCTTAGCTGGCTCGGTTGGAATTGCTAACGCTGATTCTCTGGTTGCTTTTGTAACTAAATATATCTTGTGACTGAATCGGACGAGTACACGCTTACACTTAGACCCCACCACATATGTTTTCGTTGACTAGCATGCGCAAATCTGTCACACCCTATTCACCGTCCCCTAATTCGGTCTAAACTTTTGCGATATTCGTTAATTATTCTGCCCGTCCGTCCGTAATCCGTTTGAAGCCGAAATGTCAATCATAACGGCTCTGTGTACCTAATTAATTATTCCCTGTTTTATTACATTTTCATCGTCTAAGTTGCCTATGTATACTAGCCTATTTTATGTGAACCATCGGAATCGCCTGAAGATCCTATAGATGCAGGCGAATGTCGATGTCCAACAACTTGGACCGGGAAACGCCTCCTGGAAGCCATCGCCGCTCATCCGAGCTCTCCGTTCCTCCACCTTTTCGGCCAACTGAAGCCCACCCCCGGGCTAATCCACCCCGCCATAGTACCTCCTGGCGTCTCTTACCGTCTAAGCTTCCTTTCATATCCTCCCTTCCCTATAACCACTATCCATTGTTTCTCTAAATAATTACCTTCCGTCCTTTTGGGTTAGTCGATATGACTAAGAAGGGATTCTACGCGTAGCACCCTCGAGCTAATTGTAGACTAAACAGCCTATGGGTGGTAGACAGAATACCACACAAATAAACGGACACACAATTTAAGCACCAGGGAAATTAACGTGAGTAGTGCAGAGAAGCAAAACAAGAGAGGAAAGTCTAATGAGCAAAGCACAAAGTAGAAAATAAGGAATTCGCTCCTATGTTGACCGGAATCACAGCTCAGTTGTCGTTCTAGGCATGGTTAGCCAAGTCCTCGTCCCCTGAATAATTGTTCAGTCTTCTCATTCTACTCAGTCCCTGATCCTAGCAATAACATTTAGCCAGACTATAACACTAAGCCTAACGACAAAATTTTTCAGGAACCTAAATCCAAATGTTGCCTAAACTTGACCATTCTTGCAGCTCTACTCCTGCCCATAAATCTACCTTAACCCCAAGGCCAACACTTGCAATAACACCGGCACTACCCCAACTGGTATTTCGTGTGAATTCACCGGTTCGAATTTACGACAACCGACACCATTGCTAAGAGACGGGGATATTCAAAGTTAGCGTCTAACGGCAGGGGCTTGAGAGGGGTCGGGATATCGCTCGCGGCCGTGGGTGGTTTCCGTTGAGGCCCTGAACCAGAAGTATTAATTAACCAACACACAATCTCGAACGACTGCACCCATGACGACTCCGTACAAATATAGTAGTTATATGATGCGGAAGTTTATTATAATAGAATGTGTAAAGTATGTAGGTGGCAGTATAAAATTTACGAGTTATTCCCGTTGAGTTAACAAAAAGGGACGATAGATAGGAGGATGTCTGTGCAGACATAGGACAGCATGACTGGCATGAATGTCTAAAACGCGATAAAAGGAGGAATAAACGGACTAAGGACAAGACGAAAGCTGAACAAAGCGCAGGTTGGAGTTATCGACTAAATAGATCAGCGGCTTAGCCAGGTCCATGTATGCCCCTCGTTTCTCTATTCACTTCAAAAAGCCGTCACATCCTGATTAAAACAAGAATGAATCTTTCTGTCCTGTTTGGTTGTTACACAGGAACACGTCTGAAAAAAATCTATGCAGAGGCCGATGACGCCGAAGGCAGTGCACACCGAGTCTGAGAACACCGGTGATAAATTCAGGCTAAGATCGATTCAAAATGGCATTTTTAATACGTCACTATAATCATTCATGCGAAGGGGTAGAAGAAGAATTAGGCGACAATAAATGCATAGTAATAGAACCAGGAAACTGGGTATATACGATAACGGTTAATTGTACAAATAGGATGACCACCAGTAGGGCGGTGATCTGCCTATATGAAGAGGTGGCACTGACATGCCTGCTAAAAAACCGAAGGGGAACTCGGCGCTGTGTGCTACTGCATGGTAGGGCCGTGGGATGTGCCCGACGCAGAAAGAGGGAGAAGAGAGGTGTGAGGAGTTTCGGGATGGAGACGGGCTCAAGAGAGAGGATGGTACCGGTTATTTTCGCCGACAGGCAGTTACACAAGCATCATCTCAGATCCGCGCTGGAGGTGTTCATTTTGTCCAAACAACCCTATACAGTTCACATGTAACGACCATTGGATAAAACTGGGGATGGAGTACATGAAGTGCTCCACGTTCAATCTTCGTTCGTATGAAGAATAAACACTGAGTTTTTTTCTTCCTTTAGCCGCACGATTAGTCTAGATTTTCTAATCATTTGCATTTTTGTCTATTCGATGATACACTATCCTATTTTATTTATGCAATCTTCTATATAGGCACTATTTGCCACTTATTCCGTTATGGTTTTGGTTGATCATGATCGTTTAGGGAAAACCCTCCAGGCGGAATGATGAACGAACCGTTGTAGGAAGTACTCCTGAAGCCAAACTAGATTTCGACTAAGAGGATGGTACGTCGAGCGTTACAACTAATCACCGAACTGACGCCGAGGACCAATGGCGAACGTGCTGCTGCCGACGACCCTATAAGGTTCCTTCCGCGAGCAGCGCAGGCCGTTCGCCACGAAATCCACTATTCCGTTTTGTATCAAAGACATTTATTTGTTCAAAACAGGTTACCGAAGCCCTTATTTAATCTAATTTATTTCACCGTTCTCTCTTGTGGTTCACCAAATTCTCGTGCTGTTATGGCCTTTTTTGGGTTTTTCATTCTTTAATTCCCCACACTTCATATTGGGGCCATTTTGCTCATCTTCTGGACGTCCGCTTTACTTACATCACCATTCACGGCCGCCCATAGTGCAATGAACACTTAGGCGCCTTTAATGGTTTGCCAAACACTTTACGCTATGCGTTAAGTATCCTTAAGGTTTTAGGATGAATATAGGTGAATTTGCCTATCCGGTCGGTGGTTAGCCAAAAATTAGTGAATGCGGTTAACTCGCGTACTGCCAAATTCGAGTCAAGTTCATATGCCGTCAAGGGATCATAAAATCACCACCTGTGTGCCATCCACGGTAAATATGCCATCTGTCTGGAAGATAACAGGTACCTCATCTAGTGTATTATTTGTAAGGCTTCATACCGCGCTGCGTGAGCCAAGGTGAGCATAGTTTGAGTTGCGCATAAATGGCGTTCGCATATGTATCCTGATTACAGCACGGGTTCGAGCCACAGGTCTGCTGTTTCGTATGTAGCAAACGACCAGCTAATGAGAGCCAGTGAGCCAGAAATGGCTATCCTATTCTCCATTGTCTTTGCCATTCATATCTGTCGAACATAATAAGGGCTAAGTACTTTACAAGATGAGGAATATGTCCTCTTAGTTTTGAAGACAGTGCACGTCTGTGGAGGGTATTTCTGAGGAAACAAAGCAAACAAACTGTTGACTACAGTGTACGCATCAGCATGCTCAAGCCAGAGCACTCCTTCATGCATATTAAGCACAAACCAAATGGTGGCTTTCCGCAGACTTTTAATGAACTCGATAGAACGCTTAATAGCCAGGCCGTTGTCAACGGAAGTTCATGTTTGCCTACGAAGTCAGTCGCTCTTCGTCGTCTAAGCGAAGGCGACCGCGCTGTTTTCTCCGTCACTACCAAGGCCTACTCCCACACCCCGTTGCACCTTCTAAAACACTCACTATGACAATTCGACCATCGATTTCTACGACACCCACCGTATACTCCACAGCAGGCTGAGGGCAGACACGGCGATTTGTACGTGATTTCTGAGGCGGGAAAGGGCGCAAGTGGGTGATGCGACCGGAGCCGCCCATAGGCATGCCGCCGCACCCACCTCGGGTTCCCACAGAGTGGGAGTGCCCTAAAGGCTACATTAGGAAGGAGCCATTACAGCCTGACTCAAATCACCAGTCATTATAGATAAGCAGCCATTCTCACTAGGATGTATGACTGCACTGAGCAGCTTTAGATGCAAACCAAAACTCGACAGCAGGAACTGCGAAGACTCATCAAACGAAGCGGCGGTTTCTGTCGGCTCCTGCGTATCCGCGAAACTACTAGACAGTGTAGGGGTTATTGCCCGTTAATCATACACAAAATTTAGCGGGATATTGCAAATCGAAGCGGATCGCGAGATCATTGCTGTTGACGAAAGTCGCCACTAAATTTTCTCGAGTTCCGAAGAGTGAGAAACGGTGTCTCCACTTTGACACCACGGCGTTGGACACAATGACAGCGGACTCATTCATCCAGCCAAAAGCACATGTCCGTTACGTGTGCAAGTACTAAAGGAGTGACACCTACATAGAAAGTGATAGGCAAATTGTTACTGCACTCGCCAGACAATTTTATCGAACTTTGCGCGCAGGCAATAAAATGTGTGGTCTTGGTCTTACCTCAAACCAATTGTCTGCATGGAAGGCTCAGTAAACAAGCCATCGAAGATCGGGCAGCAGTTTTCCTCATTTGCTACCGTCTGAGGCCCCTGCATCAAACTGTTTGTACTCCATCCTCCCGTAACTCGTTTTTTAGAATAGTTGGTCGCCCAGCTGACTGAAGTCCTAGTCATGTGATGTCTAGATGCGAATCGCCATCCCGTCACCCTCGCCTGTCTAGTACGCAGCATCGTGGAAAATGTTCCCTGTGGACTTTTGTGGTATCTTCCGCCAATCAGAGGGACTTCCTATTCCACACACTGAAAACTTTGGACAGGAGGCTCATGAAGAGAATGCTAAAGCTGTCTTCCTGGATTTAATCTAGTTCTTCGACGCAGTTAATTACCAGCTTTTCATAAAAGTTCTGGACTGTTGTCGAATTGAATACGCGATTGAAGGAACTTAACTTTGCAAGCCATAGGTCCTTCCGCGCATGCTTTTAGCATGTCGCTCGTCCAAGTTATCCGTCTACAATGGTTTCCGTAAAGGATCCATGTGTTGGCCGTCAATTTTCTTCATTCGCACTCACGCGTTTATTACTTCGCACAAGAATTTGAGCCTCGTCGGACTTGAAGACGTTGCCGGGTCTCGTTTAGTTGACCACGACCTCGTTGCTGTTGCGTCCAGGGCTAAAGTTCTGTTTTTTTCAATATAACTGCTCTGCTCGCAACTCCACCTGTGAACGAGAAAATGACGCTGCTAAACTACAGTACGTTCAACCAGTGCTCAGAGCGAACGACCGCCTTCGCGGACCCAACCGTACCGGACCCGAATCTTAGTGAGCACTCTTGAATGCCAGGGGCGTCCCGATAACCGTAGCCGCCTTCTCGAAATTTTGGTTGACTGGAGACTAATGGTGGCTACCAGGCGCCATGTAATGAGACTGAAATATCTGTTGCTACTGCCAGAAACGCCTGGAGTCGTTTGGCAGATCTGACGCAGTTGCGAGAAAAGCAACTACACCGGAAAAGCGGAGAAATTTCTCCGGACTCAGTATGGTGTCGTCGGTATTTAAGGCATGCTCCATGGAAGTCGCCACTCCAGCCCAAATACTTTTTGCTACCGTCTCTAGCCGAGCGTGCCGTCATTATCCGGAATTGGCGGAAACAGGACCCGGCCCACTGTGAGGCTCTTGAGCTGATGTTTTTACCGCGACGCCGCGGAATGAGCCTGGGAATACTCATCCGTCCCTCGAACTGACGACTTTAATTACGACCACTTACTGTCGCGTATGCTGTGTTTGGTCATGATATTTTTATGATATCGAGGCGTCTTGCATATGACGGTCTGGGTGTGGATGGGAAATGGGCTTTCAGGCTTGTGCGAGCGTGAACACGGTTTGACTAGTATGCCTTGCCTATTTCATTATTACTCGTCGATCTACCACCATGGACCCATCTACAGAACCTGGATCTGACCAGAGGCCTAAATAGCAGATTATCAGATTTATTGCTGTGGTGTTGGAAACACATATTGCTGACAAGCGGCCGCTTGTGGTCAGTGTAACTCAACACCCTCTTGCTGTCGTTTTGTTGATATGAAAGTCTGCAGCGACCAATAAGATGGTTGTTTGAGGAGTTGCCTGGTCCAGCCCAACCATTCCTGATTCCGTAAACAGTCAACAAGTCGCAGCGAGAGTGCCTTTCAATCAGTTCTTGCAGCTACGAACGAGTGATTCCTCTATCGTGCTGGTCGGCGGCTGTTCCACGCAAGCAATGTATAGTTCGTCTGCTGCCGCGCGAAGGTGAAGAGCCGATCCCTGGAATCCTGATTTCCCTAGAACCGTTATATTGCATTCGAACTTGTCTGCCCATCTCACCTACCACAAATCGGTTAGCATATCGAGACAGCTTTCCGAAAGGCCTCAGGGGCTTGAATCACACTTGAAACGAATTTTTACGACTTACGGCGGTCGAAGTGCTTACGTAGTTATAGTCAGAATGGCTGCAAGCACACAGGCAAGATAGTACGAACAAACTAGAATGAAAGAGTCGGAAAGAGTGAGTACCCTAGGATTGGGCATTATGCGGCTTACAAGTGGCGAATCGGAACCTAGACGAGAAACAGAACATTAGTTCATAAGATAGAACTTGGTCGGATCAGCCTCTCTGCCAGCATATAGGGGGGTGGAGGTGTGGATAAATCGGCTGCGGAGGTTTCTATGTGATAACCTGTAGACCGTATGAATGATCGCGTTGTTTTTGCTGTCAAACCACTCTCCAGGTTATTCATATGGACATCTTCATTGCTATGGGCGCTAACAGGTGTTGCAGGTGTCGCTTTCCTGCTAAGCGCCGTTTGACCATCCCCGGTGGGTGGGGATGTGCGACGGGGTGCTGAATATGAAGAAGATCTGGCACAAGCATCTAATGAAAATGTCGGCAGTCCGATCAGGACGAGCAAATGTAAATGAAAACGAGAATATTCATCAATATTCGTCAGCAGATAGCCACTGTGGGTCACTGACAGGAGTGGACCTTTGAAGTCGATTAACAGTTATTCGAACAGCTGGGTCGCTCTGATAGGTTGACGTTGTGCTTGAGTGAAGACACAGAGTTTGACCTCATGGCAGGTTTTACATCTATCGATAACACTACAAATCCCTTCCATAAAATATGGGTCTTCCTGGTTCATGCGAAGTACGATAGTCGAAAGGCATCAGGAGCACAGAGTTTTTCATGTGGTTCTTTCAGATAGGCGCTTGCTGGCAAGAGCCCGCAAAAATTATGAAAAAACACATCGGTCGCTCGGTTAGCTTTACCGGGCCAGAAAACAATGTCCGATTTAAATTGCGACACTTTCAGCCTTCAACATTCGATTCTGCCATTCTTCGCTTTCCCGTTTGTTGATTATCGTAGGGAAAAGTAATTTAGGCGTATGGACTCCACTACGGCGTACGCCCCTTTCTCGACAGCAAAGTGACATCGCTGGTTTGGGGAATGACGGCCGGTCGGCCATTCTGGTTCACTGGGGTTTCGACAACTAATGGGGTATCATATTGAACGGCAGCAATTGCGGCCTCCTTAAGTTTTTCCTTAAAACCTTCAGATGTCCCACTTACCTCTAATGGTGAGGTAAGGTTTTATTGTGAATAGGCAGATGAACTTTATGCATAAAATTGAGCATGCATCGTGAATAGTATGTGGACAATTTCATGGCCCGTTGTTGTGACTTGAGGCCATGCGTAGGAGCCGTTTCACCCAACGACTTTAGGTGGCCCAGAACCGATTTAATGTTGCCCTTAGCCATCTTGCAACCAAGAAGCTGGATTTGCTTTAGCAGCGATGACATTTGGCTTCAGTGAAGGTCAGTCTGTATCTTTCGGGCACTGAGGAATTTTCGAAGGCCTAAATCATGCTCCGCGAGGTCGTTTCCACAAATGGCGATGCTGGCCACTCGGACGAAAATGTCCTTCAGGTGCCCCCGCGTAATTATGTCGCCAATAGTTCGCTGGAAACATGCAACATCGTTGGTCGCGCTGAACAGAGTTTTACGAAACACCCCTAAGCTCCAGAGGTGGTGTGTGGCCTTTGTCTGGTGATAGGTGCTCTTGGGATCAAGAGTGCTACACGTGTTGCAGTTTGTAATATGTTCAATCATTTCATTTATCCCGGGTCATTGTGCCGAGCATTGTATATTTGTCACTCGTCTGGCTGTAATCAACAAGGATCCGCTCTTTGGGGTTTTGATTGGCCACCAACAGAACTTGGGCTCGCCAAAGGGATGAGGGAGGGGGGAGTGGGCTTAATTACTTTCTGACTTACCGAGTACGGTTTTTGCCGGAGGACAAAAAGACAACCTGACGAGTCCAACGCCACCAACACCTCCCTATTCGAAAGCGTATTCCAGAATTTCGGCCAACATTTCATGAGATCGGTCACGCACTGTAAGTCAGCGTGACGCCTCCCTCGATCACTGAGCGAGGATTATTTGACGTACTTACCTCACCCTGCTAAGGTCATAGAAGAGTGCCAACGAGCTCAATCAATTCCAGTGCGCGGACTAGTGTGTGCGGTTTGTTGACTGTCCACGCCTCCTGTGAACGGCGTTTTCGAGCCAGTGTACATCTTTATTAACGTCCCTTACTATACTACAAAACCGCATGAATGGTGGGCTGTATTATCAGCCCTCCAGCGTAAGATTCGCGCTCTTAGGTCTTAATTTTTTTTGCTTCTTTCAGCGGCCGTCTCGGTCCAATCGTGAGCAGGGAATGGAATTAATTGACACCTACTACGATCCTGCTGAGTACGTGGTAACTGCCAGTGGCAACAAGGTCAGCCGCAAGTCTATCCTCTGCGGCAGCCAAAACATTGTCCTCAATGGAAAAACCATAATCATGTCCGATTGTATCATCCGCGGCGACCTAGCGAACATCCGCATCGGCCGTCGATGCGTCATCAGCGAGTCTGCTGTAGTCCGGCCAGCCTTCAAAAAATTCAGCAAGGGTGTGGCCTTCTTCCCCTTGCATATTGGCGATCACGTCTTCATTGGGGAGGACTCGATAATCAACGCAGCTCAGATCGGCTCCTACGTGCATATTGGCAAGAACTGTGTAGTCAGTCGACGCTGTGTCCTCAAAGACGCCTGCGCCCTGCTCGACAACACTGTCCTCGCGGCGGAAACGGTTGTACCGCCGTTCACCGTCTTCGGTGGCAGTCCGGGCCGGGTGGTTGCCGAGCTGCCTGAATGCACGCCGGATCTGATGTGTGATCTCACGCGCAGTTTTTACACTCACTTCCTGCCTTCGAGTGAACCACCAAGGGGCAGGAAGTGATTTGTCGCCCAACTTTCCTAACCTCATTTCATATCCTGAGTCCTAGGTACGAGGCAACGTCCCAACCTTGTATTCTGCGTTGAGCCAACTGTTTGGGGAGAGGGGGTTATCGGAAAATTTGCCTGGTGTGTGCATTTCCAGGATGTATTTGTCTCTTTTGCTGATCATTCCCACCGCCGTAACTTGGAATTTAGCTCTCACTTCGGTTGCCGGCTTTCTCATTCATTTTGAGCGCGAGTTTCCCCCACCCCTTTCCTCTTCGAAACACATTTCTATGAGATTTCGCGTTCCGTCCTGTAGTGGTCACTTTTCTCACTAATATTTGACTTCCGCACCGAGTTTTCCCTCTCATTTACCGTTATCAAAAGCCGAGATTAACTCTGATCCTTAGATCCGCGCAAGAAGGAACTCTCCACGAAACCATCGCAACCAACGTCTGCGGGGCACGGTTAGTTGTGAAAACACTTATCCGAAGTACAGTTGATGGGCTAACTCATGACATGTCAACCGAAATTCCGAAATTTGTTTTCGTTTCGAAAAGACTGAGTAAGTAGGGTTGTAAAACTAGTCAGCCTGCAACATAATTCTACAATATTTCAGTTACCCCCGAACGCCGGATTTTGAGCAAACTTCTTTCCGGCTGCGTGCGAAAACCACACTCTGCAAGAAATGACTACTCAAGTAGCATGCATTTTTCTCTTTGATTTTCGATGCCCTTAAAATTCAATTATATTTCATGGAAAACATGCGTATAAACATTCTTCTGCACATTCGGTAGAAAAGTACGTTTTCTCCGATTGTATGCTCGAAGAAAAGGTATAATTCGGTTTTAAAAAAGTTTCTAATTGTGAGATTTTTTAATACTGTGAGGTGCCCGTTCATAAAACGTAATGTCCCTGCATTTACCAATGTTACTTGTAAAGTTAACAATACTGCTCGAATCCACCGCTAAATTTATGGACCCCATATAGTCTCTTAATACTGCAGAGAAATGTACGGTTTTCCGTACGCGATAAATATATGGTTTGTGGTTTGGAAACCCTGAATGCAAGTGTAACCGCAGGTCGGGTTCAAAATTAATCGGGAATTGGAAACGTTTTTGAAAACCGAATCGTACCCTTCCTTCGACCATAAAATTAGAATAAGATGTAATTTTCTACCGGATGAGCAAAAGAATGCATATGTTTATGCATGTTTTACATGAAATATATTTGAATTTTTAAGGGCATCGAAAATCAATGAGAAAAATGCATGCTACTTAAGTAGTCATTTTTCACAGAGTGCAGTTTCTGCATGCAGCCGGAAAGAAGTTCGTTCGAAATCCGGCTTCCTGAGATAGATAAATTATTCCAGAATTATGCTGCATGACGATTAGTTTTACAACCCTGCTTAATTAGTCTTTTCCAAACGTAAACACATTTCGAAATTTCGGTTGACATTTTACGAGTTAGCCCGCCTGCTGCACTTGCTGGATCCGCATCCTCAAAGATCCACGCGTACCAGTCATCCCCATGTAGTTGTGAATGTCTTACCATATGTGTAGAAAGTGCGCCAAAATTGGAAGGATTACTGCCGCTACCTACTTAGGCTTAGTCCTTTGTCTCAAGTAATACTGCCCGCATTCGCAGCGGCATCACTGGAAGCAACGCGGAAGCGGTCTGGTCGAAACCTAGCTCAAAATTATCCGTCAGGATTTCGAGCTGGTTCTTGAACGCACGATATTTTACCTCACCTGCTCGATGCGTCGGAGCCATACGACACGCTGCCTAAGCGTGCCGACCAGAGTAGGCGTGATCGCAGCCGTATCGCCGATAATTGATTAAGCGATTCATTTAACGGAGGCTCAACACCGACTGGGTTAACTGAAATTGGCTCTGTTTTGCTTTCTTGTGTAGGCACATCAGCCTTTGGCATTCGCCCGCATGGCGTCATTTAGTCCTGCTCCACATTCCAATGTGCGATATCCGTCAAAACCCACGAAAAGTCGAGCCCCTCGATTTCACCCCGTCGGAGACGACAGATGAATGTGCTGGATGAAAGGCGTTTGGGAGTTTTAATGACTACGCCGCACGACATCTGCAGCTTCCGATTTCATCTCAGAAGCTACACTGGTGCGGTCGTCAGTATCCAAATCGTTGATTTTCGTGATTTCACCGCCGGTGCTTAAGACTAGGGTGAGAATTATCACACCATGTGCGGAAGTCTGCGCCAAATGCGAATGCTGTTACTTCTGGTGGGTGTACGGTTGTGTATTCGTCGCATCTGGGTCTCAAGATGCGTAAGTCTGCTATGCCAGGATCAGCAAACCATGACCCCCGCAGCATGGCGTGCACTGGCAGTTTCATGACATCTGGCCCCTTGCCGGTAGATGCTTTTGAGTTCCCGCCGGTTATACAGGTCGTGCGAATGGCAGCCTCGTCTTTCTGACCCGTTGTGGTGTTGTTTTTGGGTAGAATCCTGGTCGAGTGCTTGTGGACCAGGGGATGTGGTATTACGCCTAGGTGCGGGTTCGGTTGTGCCAATCACCTACGGCCTCTCCCACCTCCATTCTTCCTGACTGTCTCCACACCGGGCCCAGGTTGGAGGACGCGGTAGATGCAGCGCAAGTCTACTATCACCATAAATTGATTCACGCGCAAGTCACCGTGCCTGCTTCATCTAGCCGTGGAGTACGCGGTGGACATCGTCGGGCACAACGACCAAACTACCAATTGTCGCATTTTGTGATTGCCGCATCCTTTTTGGCTACTGTCTCGACAGTGAACAAGGCTGCTCTTCCAGTGGCCAAGTCTCCTCAGAAGGCCTTTTAGTGTGCGCTTACGAACAGATTCTGAAGAGACGCCGTATTATATTCGCCCTGATATTTTTTACGTCCACACTGCTGCGCGTACAGCAGGTGGGCTAACTCATGAAATGTCAACTGAAATTCCGAAATGCGTTTTCGTTTCGAAAAGATTAATTAAGTAGGATTGTAAAACTAATCAGCCTGCAGTATAATTCTATAATGTCCTGTCTCCAATCCGAATTTTCACTCTAATATGAGTACATGTGTAATCATCTTCAGTTTTAATGACCGCACCTGTGAGGAAAATACTTGTACCTTGACTTGGCGATGACCGATCATTAGAATGTACGAATATAAAGTGGCGGGTAAATGCACAGTTTTGCACATATGGTGATGGACCGAGGTACCACCAAATGACTTTTCAAATTCACACAAATAACTCACTGATTTTAGGTCTAAGGAGATCAGGCGAGCGGCGAAGCAGGGCACGTCCAAACCCAGGACGACGAAACGGCAGACTCGCTTTTGCCACCAGACTAGATACCGCGTGGTCATCTACCTAACTGTTATATGGCACCAACGACACTCTTGTGAAAATGAGATAGATAATCTAAAGAATGAAATAAATAGCGATCGTCAAGGCACACATCTTTCACAGGGACTAGCTTAAACGTCATGAAGCACCAATTCTGCTGGGATCTACGACCAGGGAATAATCTATTCTTTATGATGACGGTAAGACGCACATTATACGTCTCCATAATGAGTTCTTGATTGGCACGGGGTTAATACTTAACTACAACGAATGCCGTCCACGAAAGCACTGATCGAAAAACACCTTTTCTACCAATAATGCTTTATTTTGTGTTCGAAATTATCAAATTACAATCAGGTTTACAAAGAAAAAATGTCTTAGCGAGTCAGTGGATATTTAGGGAAACAACTTAGGATGTGGTTTGCGCACGTAATACCACATTGCCATGGAAGGAACCCCCTATCAGTGGGCGAGCATCTATATGAATGACTCTAGGACTTCTGACTGAAAATTATGATAGCCTGGATCTAAAAACGTCTGCCGCCCGTTTTTTTGGATCACGAAAATGTGAGCTCTCGTTCAAAGCTACAGGATAACAACAGGTGCTTCAAATCTTTCACCTCCCTCAATTATGCTGGGATATCTTTTCCTTTCTCCCCTCTGCATCTTGGCATCTGTTGAATTTTGGATTGAACGGCGTCCAACACAGGGCTCATTGCACGATAGAATTACTAATGTTTGTCAAAAACCACATCTTGTATTGCACAGCACTTTAACTCTTTCACAATTTAATCAAGATTATTTGAAAACATTTGATTAAAGCCTCAGTTTGACAAAGCGCCGCGAGTTTGGAAAAATTCCAGCTTCATCAATATCATCAATGCCCCAAGGCTTGCTGGTGACTTTTAGGGGCATGACCTCTGGGTACAACCTAAAAATATGAGGATCATAGAAGAACAGGTTGATGGAAATATTAGTGAAGATTAACCACAATCAACTCATTCAACTGAGCAGAGGGGTGGGGAAGAAATATTTTAATTTTAAGATCATAACTTTTCAAGATCTAAGGCGCATATAGCGCACCCTGTGACATGTATGGCAACTTGCCTCGTGATATGTATGGAAACTTGCGGATTGGCCAGAGTTTCCTTCTTATAAACATGCACTTAGACCTTCGAAGTAAAATGCATATGTCGGCAGTTGTTTTGACCGTACTTATAATTTTCACTGACGGGTGTACCATTTCTCTGCACAACATGTACGTCCTTTCTGTCGATTTTACGCCCCTACTTCTATCATTAACCGTTAATGGCATTATCATTAAAATTATAATTGATCACTAAATAGCGTGTAAAATCTACCCGTTCAATTATTTATGCAAGTCTGGTCGACAACGTTTTCGCATTTAGCGAACAAAGTTATTAAAGCACAATATTCAACCGCCTCCCAAAATTGGCATCACATCCTTCCATGTCATTGCTCGTCCTGCTTATTCAGTGCTTTAAACCAGTTTAATGTGTAATTTGTTTGATAGAAACATGTATGCCTGTACCAGGGTGGACTCCAAGCTTCTCCTTGACAGGGTCGCAGAAAGCTTGTTGCCGAATATGCTGGAGTCGGGTCTGATATTGTTTTCAGACGACATCGAGCACTATTTATTCACAGTGAAATTTGAAAGGG